ATCGTGCTTACCCAGGCCTTAAAATGCCCACTGGCATGGGTAAGGGAGAAGGGTCCGGGGCAAGAGAGTATGGAGGTGGTGAACTATCATTTTGGAAAAGAAGAGGATTAGAGTACCATTTGTCCTCGCCAAGGCAGATTTGCATTCCCTTTGGAGTTGTGCCTCTGGGAAGGAAGCTGGGGGAGAGAAGCGTTTGTTGAAAGAGCTCTGTGCACCAAAACCAGTGTGGCTCAATGGATAGAGCTTCGGTCTGCGGACTGAAAGGTCCCGGGTTCGATTCCGGTCAAGGGCATGTACCTTGGTTGCGGGCACATCCCCGGCAGGGGGTGTGCAAGAGGCAGCTGGTCGATGTTTCTCTCTCATCGACGTTTCTGGCTCTCCATCTCTCTCCCTTCCTTTCTGTGAAAAATCAATGAAATATATATTTTTTTAAAAAGGAACTCTGTGCAGCAGGTAGTGCAAAGCAATAGGCCTCAGCACCTTGGGATTGGGGTCCAGATGTCAAGTATTTGGTGTCTTTGAGAAACAATGTGAGGGACAACAAGGGTATTGCCTAACAAGACTAAAATCAAATCACTTACACTTTCAATTATTTCTTCTTTCTGTTTTATTTATTTATTTATTTATTTATTTATTTATTTAAAATATATATATTATTGTTTTTTGTTTTGTTTTTTTTACAGAGAGGAAGGGAGAGAAATAAAGAGCTACAAACATCGATGAAAAAGAGACATCGACCAGCTGCCTCCTGCACACCCCCCACCGGGAATGTGCCCACAACCAAGGTACGTGCCCTTGACCGGAATCGAACCCGGGACCCTTCAGTCTGTTGTCCATTCAATTCCTGTTGAAGCACAAGCCTCATTTTCTCAGTGGGTAGCCAGTGGGTGGATAAAGGGCATGTGGGAGGCAACTGATCCAGAGCTGATCCAGGTTTCTCTTTCCCTGTCCCTTCCTCTCTATTGAAAAAAAATCAAATTACATATATATATATATATATATATATATATATATATATCTCCTATTTAACCTGTTAACTGAGCAGGTCGTATAAATACATCAAACGTAAACAATATCGGGAACAGGTAGGATGTATGAATACATCCTGGAAATATATGTTGCGCCCTGAGAGAGACGGTATATAGTTTTTGTAATCTTTATAATTGTTTGTAAAATTTATAATTTTTTAATTCGATGTTTCCATTTTTTTTGTTGGTATCCTTTTCTGTTTTTTTTTTTTTGTAATTTTGTATTTTCCTTTGTGCTTTATATATAAATAAAAGAAAAAACATATATATCATTTATTTTAATTAAGTGTAAATAAAAAAAATAATAATAATATGAAATTACGTCCTCCGGGCGTGACGTGCTGACATGTCCCAATGAAAGAGTACGCACCAGTTACAGGTTGCGTAATTAAAAAGGGAACTCCCTGGTTAACAGGTTAATAAAGAGATGATATGCAAATTGACCGTCACGCCATCACAAGATGGTGGAGCAGGGCCGGCTGCTCTGCCTATTTGGAGGACAACATGGGGGGTCTTGCCTGACAAAGACAAGTGGCAAATCCATCCCAATTCCTTTCATGTGAAACAACTCTTCCTACCCTGTGTTCCTGACACCCACTGTTTTTGAGGAGACAACTGGCTCACGGTTGAGAACCAGAGTACAGAGTATCTCGTCTGTGTTCCTCCGCCTTGATGTGGTGGGAAGACACAGCATCCGTAGGACTATAAGGAGAGATGGATTTTGGTGGGCCCATGGCCCGCTGTTCTCTCTCACGTGGGGAGTGGAGGGAGCCAGGCAGCGGGGCGTAGGACAAGCTTGGGATCTCGAGAGGGAATGTAACCACGGGATGGTCTGTCCCCGTCATGACAGGGCGTGCCCTTAGAGGACGTGGCCATTGGCTTCTCTCAGGAGGAGTGGGGGCTCCTCGATGAGGCTCAGAGACGTCTGTACTGCGATGTGATGCTGGAAGTGTTCTCACTGGTATCGTTCAGAGGTAAGACCTTCTCATCGCTCCTCCTGTCCTGAAGGGATGCCTGCTCTTTATTCATTCTCCAGACAGAGCTCTCTCTCTCTCTCTCTCTCTCTCTCTCTCTCAAAGACAGACCAGCCGAAACCGGTGTGGCTCAGTGGATAGAGCGTCGGCCTGCAGACTGAAAGGTCCCGGGTTCGATTCCGGTCAAGGGCATGGACCTTGGTTGTGGAGGCACATCTCCAGTAGGGGGTGTGCAGGAGGCAGCTGATGGATGATTCTCTCTCATCGATGTTTCTAGCTCTCTATTCCTCTTCCTTCCTCTCTGTAAGAAATCAATAAAATAAAATAAAAATAAATTAAAAAAAGACAGACCATGGGCTCAGCTCATTTCCCCCACTATCTTGTCAAACGGGCTGTGGCTGCCAGCGCTGATCTCCGCGGAGAGTCCTGAGCAATAGACTCCATAAACCTCCCTGACACCGATTGCCATAGAAACGGCAGGAAGTGTCTGGGTATCAGCGGGCTTACAGACGGCTTAACAGGTCCCTCCTGCTCTTCCACTCCCAGGGAGGGTGACTATATCCAGATCCAGGGCTTCCACTTCTGCAGCTTTCCTGTCGATAAAGACCCCGTGTTGGTTATCTTCTTTACATACATGAACCAGGGGCTGTTCTTGTAAGACCGACCTCTAGCAGAAACCAGTTTGGCTCAGTGGATAGAGCGTCGGCCTGCAGACTGAAGGGTCCCAGGTTCGATTCTGGTACCTTGGTTGCGGGCACATCCCCAGTAGGGGGTGTGCAGGAGGCAGCTGATCGATGTTCCACTCTCATCGATGTTTCTAACTCTCTATCCCTCTCTGTAAAAAATCAATAAAATATATTAAAAAAAAAAAAAAAAAAAAGACAGTCCTCTAATTGTTGTTTGTAATATTACCTTCCCGGAATACTATTGCAAGCCGAATGCTATTGGCAAGCGATGGCTGCTCCCCTGTTGTCTTTCACTGATACTCAGAATATTTTTTTTTTTATTATTAAATATATTTTATTGACTTTTTACAGAGAGGAAGGGAGAGAGATAATTAGAAACATCGATGAGAGCGGAACATCGATCAGCTGCCTCTTGCACACCCCCCTACTGGGGATGTGCCCGCAACCAAGGTACATGCCCTTGGCGGGAATCGAACCCGGGACCTTTTAGTCCGCAGGCCGACGCTCCATCCACTGAGCCAAACCGGTTTCGGCAATACTTAGAAAATTTAGTTTGCACGTATCTCTAGAGAAGGAGGTACAGGGAATATCTTGGGTTTGTTTGTTTGTTTGTTTTATATATATTATTGATTTTTTTTATTTTTATTTTTTTTTAATTTTTTTTATAGAGAGAAAGGAGGGTTATTCTGAGCACAGTGTCCCTATAGGACATTCTCAGGTCAGGCCTTCCAAGACAGCACCAGCCACCCAGAGGACCCATCTGTGCAGGCCGTGCTTCTCGGTGTTAAAAGATACGTTGCACCTGACCGCGCCCCAGGTGGCATCCTTCAAGAAGCACGTGTTCTTCGCCGGTGCCTCGTGTTTCCGTGCAAACCCTCACCAGCAGCGGCGGCGGCGGAAGGATGCCAGCGGAGAGACGCCCTGGAAGAAAGACACGCAGGGGGCCCCGCCTGGGACCCGCTGCCGCTGCTTCTTATCCGGGGTGCCCGCAGCTGGTGCAGAGGCTGGGGAGCACCCCCCGGCCATCTCGCGGCTTCTCCTGCACCAGGTCGCCCTTGGAGAAACACATCCCCCGGGGACTGGGTGTAGAAGGGCCGCCGGTCAGAAACAGAAAGCTGCTGCTCGTCGTCGTCGTCATCATCATCGTCGGAGAGGTCTCTGCGCCTCCGGAGACGGGACCGATGAGTCTGATGCGCGTGGGAAAGCGCATAATGGAAGCACGGACTCCCCTGCAGGCGGCAGGAAGGTGTCGGGTGAGAGCACAGAAGACAGCGAAGCCCACGCTAAAAAGAAGCGGTACCAGTGCGGCGACTGCGAGAAGTCCTTCCACTACAAGTCGGACTTCACCAGGCACCGGCGCGTCCACACCGGGGAGAAGCCCTACGGCTGCGGCGAGTGCGGGAGGCACTTCAGCCAGAGGACCGACCTGGCGGCGCACCGGCGAGTTCACACCGGGGAGCGGCCCTACGCCTGCGGCGACTGCGGCAGGCCCTTCAGCCAGAAGACGGACCTCACCAAGCACCGCCGCGTCCACACCGGGGAGAAGCCCTACCGGTGCGGCCCCTGCGGCAAGGCCTTCAGCAAAAGCTACAGCCTCGGCCGGCACCAGAGGAGGGCCCGGTGCAGCAAGCGCAGGGAGGGTGGGAACTCCCCCGGCCCCCACGCGCCTCGATGCCACGCGCGAGTTCACACCGGGGGGAAGGCCCCACGGGTGCAGTGAATGCGGGCAGGCCTCCCGTCACAGGTCTAACCTCTGCACCCACCGCAACAGAGCTCACCGCAGAGAAGGGCCGTAAGAGGGACGGCTTCCTTTTTTTTTTTTTTTTTTCCTCTCACTCTAAGAATAAGAGCCGAAACCGGTTTGGCTCAGGGTTAGAGCATCGGTGTGCGGACTGAAAGGTCCCAGGTTCGATTCCGGTCAAGGGCACGTACGTTGGTTGCGGGCACATCCCCGGTAGGGGGTGTGCAAGAGGCAGCTGGTCGATGTTTTTCTCTCATCGATGTTTCTAGCTATCTCTCTCCCTTCCTCTCTGTAAAAAAATCAATAAAATATATTAAAAAAAAAAGAAAAGAATAAAGAGCACGTAAGGAGACGCTAGGGGACTTATTTACATGGATGTAAAACCTCGCTGATGAGAACATGCACCCCGCCAGGTCCCTTATACATTTTTTAAAAAAATATATATATATATATTTTATCGATTTTTCACAGAGAGGAAGGGAGAGAGATAGAGAGAGCCAGAAACGTCAATGAGAGAGAAACATCAACCAGCTGCCTCTTGCACACCCCCTACTGGGGATGTGCCCGCAACCCAGGTACATGCCCCTGACTGGAATTGAACCCTGGACCCTTCCGTCCGCAGACCAACGCTCTATCCACTGAGCCACACCGGTTTCGGCCCGTGTCCTCACTTCTGCTGGAAGTAATTATGGTTCCTCCAAGCTCTTGGCGGTATCTTCATTCATTCATTTCTCTGTGAGAAGAAAATGGACCTGACCCAGGACTCATCCAGAGCAACCCCTTCTCAGCCAAGAAGCACTGCCCTGTTTCCCCGAAAATAAGACAGTGTCTTATATTAATTTTTTTCTCCCAAAGTTGCGCTAGGTCTGATTTTCAGGAGATGTCTTATCTTTCCATGCGCTAGGCCTTATTCTCGGAGGATGTCTTATTTACGGGGAAACACGGTACCTCTTTCAGGGACATCGTGGTACTCACCTTTATGCTTTAATAAATTTGGGTGCATTCTTATTCACCAACCTGCAAACCACTTGCTCTCTCCTCTGCTCTGGTTTATGACCTTTTGTTAAGGTGTTGTTGTTTTTTTTACATTTGTACTTTAATTTTGGTTTTGTTCACTGCGACGGATGATTTGCGACCACAAAAATGTGTTCTTCCAGCATGTGGAGATGAATACTGTGTCTCAAATTCTATGTGCTTTGGGAGGCACAGCGTAATGGCAGGCAACCCCTTTCTGTCCAGTATCGGCTTATTATTTCCTGCGGCCCACGGGCTTGAAAGAAAGACTCCCATGACTTTGTGCATTTTGGTTGCTCAACAGGCAAGAAGTCAAAAGAGCTAGAGTTAGGATAACCCTATAATCTGTCCCAGGATGTGTCCTTTGTAAGCAGCCAGCATTCCTGTTGATTTTGACGGCAATACTTTTTTTAAAAAAATACATATATATAGTTTTGATAGGCTATTCCCTATTCTGACAATGGACTCTGTAAACTAAACCCTACCCTTGGAAGTGTGTATATCTCCACATTGCCTTAGAACAGCGGTAGGAAAACTCATTAGTCAACAGAGCCAAATATCAACAGCACAACGATTGAAATTTCTTTTGAGAGCCACATTTTTTCAACTTAAACTTCTTCTAACGCCACTTCTTCAGAATAGACTCCCCCAGGCCGTGGTATTTTGTGGAAGAGCCACACTCAAGGGGCCAAAGAGCCGCATGTGGCTCGTTAGCCTCAGTCTGCAGACAATTTGTGTTAATAAAAAGCAAGGGGTAAAAATAAAATAAAAGGAATATATCTATTTTTTATTGATGTCCGAGAGAGAGAAATACCAGTGATGAGTTGAGAATCATTGGTCAGCTGTCTCCTGCATGCCCTGCTCTGGGGATGGAGCCCACAACCCGGGCATGTGCCCTGACCGGGAATTGAACCGTGACCTTATTCATAGGTTGATGCTCAACCACTGAGCCACGCCAGCTGGGCTGATGGCAATAGTCTTTACCGCTTGTCAATATTTGTTGCCATTAAGGCTGGGCTGGTCCTCCCAAGAAATGAAGAGAGAGATGGTTGTATCTATATACCATCGCCATCTTAATTTTCAAACAACAGAAGGATATTTAGGACTTATATGGAACCACATTGCAAGGCTTACATATATGTACCAATGACGAGCAAGGGGATGGTCATTTGCAACGTGCACTGTTGGTGAGGTTGAACTTACGGAGAAAGCTAAGAATCCATCACAGATGAACTAGGCTTCTATTACCCATATCCATTTTTTTATAATATATATATTTTATTGATTTTTCACAGAGAGGAAGGGAGAGGGATAGAGAGCTAGAAACATCGATGAGAGAGAAACATCAACCAGCTGCCTCCTGCACACCCCCCACCGGGGGTGTACACGCAGCCAAGGTACATGCCCTTGACCGGAATCGAACCCGGGACCCTTCAGTCCGCAGACCGATGCTCTATCCACTGAGCCAAACTGGTTTCGGCCACATCCATGTTGGGGAAAACGTAGGCTTACAGTTGTGAGCATGCCAAACACACAGTTAATTCTCTTTTTCAAGTTACTCTTGTATATATTTTTTAAGATGTATTTTTATTACATTTTTAAAGGAATGGCAGAGAGAGAGAAACGTCAATCATCTGCCTCATGCACCACCAATTCCTGGGAATTCAGGAAGGCGTGTGCCCTGCCCGGTAACCAAACCAGTGGCTTTCAGTGAGCATGATTGCACCCAACAAAATGAGGCACAAATGGCCAAGGGGAGTTTATATTTGTGTTATTATCAATTACTAGAGGCCCGGTGCACAAAATTTGTGCATGGGGAGGAGCAGGTGGTGGTGTTCCTCAGCCCAGCCTGCACCCCCTCTTCAATCTGGGACCCCTCACCACCACCACCACCCCCGTTTAGACTAAACGGGCAGTCGGACATCCCTCTCACAATCCAGGACTGCTGGCTCCCAACTGCTCGCCTGCCTGCCTGCCTGCCTGCCTGCCTGCCTGCCTTCCTGATTGCCTCTAACCGCTTCTGCCTGCGAGCCTGATCACCCCCTAATCACTCCCGTTAGCCAGGCCTCTGGTCCCACCTTCTCCTTCCCCAGGGGTCCCTTGCTGTGCCACACAAGTTTATTCACCGTCCACTGGGGGCGCTCATAGGCCAACGGGAGGTGAGAAAACTACATTACCCAGAGGGCAATGCGCCCGCGTGGGCGGAGCTAAAGGATACTTCCGCGTCTGCGCATCCGGTTAGGGCGGGACTTCCGCCTTCCTCCTCCTGGTGGTCATTTTAACTTCTCAGGTCCTTTGTTCAGCGATTCCCAGGCTTCAGGGCGCCGGTCGGGGAGCAGGAGGACGCCCGGGGAGCCGCTGCCTGCGGGGCGGGGCGTGTCTGAGGCGCCCGGAGCCCCCACAGCACGAGGAGATCGGCGTCTCCGCGCCCCCCGGCTCCTCCCCGCTCCCAGCGTCCCCGCAGCCTGACCCCCCGGTTCCGCCGCCCCGGGCCCCGCGCTCAGGATGGTGAGTCCCTCCCGGGGGCGCGGGGGTGACGGGGAGGAGGGTGGGGGGCGGCAGAGCCACCGTGTGAGGAGGCGGTGGTGGGACCGAGCGGGGAGGATGGGGACCCCGGGCCTGTGTGGGGTGTAAAGTGAGGTGCCCAGACGCCCCGCTTTTGGCAGGACGGTCCCGATTTTCAACAATTTGTCCCGCGTCCCGCGCGGCGTTTTAAAAAAATTCCAAAAGAGCCCTAGCCGGTTTGGCTCAGTGGATGGAGCATCAGCCTGCAGACTCAAGGGTCTTGGGTTCGATTCCAGTCAAGGGCACAGGCCTGGGTTGTGTGGGCTCCATCCCCAGTGTGGGGCGTGCTGGGAGCAGCCGATCCATGATTCTCTCTCAGCACCGATGTTTCTATCTCCCTCTCCCTCTCTCTTCCTCTCTGAAATCAATAAAAATGTAAAAAAAAAAAAAAAAAGTCCAAAAGATTTCAAAGATTCTTTCCAAAAATTGGGACTTTTTTTAAAAACGCCGGGGGACGCGGGACAAATTGTTAGAAATCGGGATGTCTGGTCACCTTAATCTAAAGGCAACACAGACATGCGGTGTGGGTTTTGCAGAAGCTGGGGCCGTGGGTGTTAGGGTCCAGGGGAGCACACGGGGCCCAAAAGGGTGGAGAATTAGGAATTAATGGCCCGGAGACGGCCCTGGGAGGGACCTGGGAGGCGGAGGCTGGTGCTGAGGCCGCACAGCGCCCCTTGTCCGCTGTGGCTGCTCCTCTGGGCCTGGAGCGGACATGCAGCTGAGGCCCGGAGTGACCTGCGGGAGGAGAGGATGGGGGCCTCCGCTGCCGGCCTGGTTACTGGCCAGTGGAGGAGGGGTTCCCCTGGGGGACAGGTTCTTGTTCCCCAGGTTTGCCCCTTGCTGGCACCCAGAGCTTTCTTGTGGGGCCTGAGACAGGATTCCCAAAGGGGATGGAGCAGTGGTTAGGCCCCCCCACCTCTGTGCCAGGTCCGGCCTCTGCTGTGATGCCCAGAGGGTCATGAGGAGAGGGATTATGGGAACTGCCCTTTTGTGTAGGATGTGGTGGCTTACGGGGACAGGTAAAGACTGATGATTGGGCCGAAACCGGTGTGGCTCAGTGGATAGAGCGTCGGCCTGCGGACTGAAAGGTCCCGGGTTCAATTCCGGTCAAGGGCATGTACCTTGGTTGCAGGCACATCCCCAGTGGGGGGTGTGCAAGAGGCAGCTGATCGATGATTCTCATCAATGTTTCTAACTCTCTGTCCCTCTCTCTTCCTCTCTGTAAAAAAATCAATAAAAATATATTTTTCTAAAAAAGACAACATTGGCTTTCATGGCATGAAGGTCTGGAATTTTCTCTGATGCGCAGAGTGGAGAGGGCAGATGGATGTGGAGGGTGGGGGGTATGACAAACATAGGATGTTAGGAGTGACTCTGATCATGAGCTGTACTGTCCCCATTCATACAGGATGTGAACTTTGAGGATGTGGCCATTGGCTTCTCTCAGGAGGAGTGGGGGCTCCTGGGTGAGGCTCAGAGACGTCTGTACTGCGATGTGATGCTGGAAGCGTTTGCACTTGTGTCGTCTGTCGGTAAGACCTTCACGTTCTCACCCTGTCCTGAGGTGAAGACCTCTCTTTTCCTTTATTCCTCAGGCATAGCTTTCTCTTCCTACAGCCAGATCATGGCTCCTTTTAATTCACACACACACACACACACACACACACACACACACCCGTCCTGTCAAATGTGCTGTGGCTGCCAGGGATGAGCTCTGTAGAGAGTCCTGAGCAAAAGGCTCCACGAACATCCCTAACAGCCATTACCTCAAAAAGTGCAACAAGTCGCAAGGAGTCAGGAGTCTTTTTTTTTTTTTAAAAAATATATATATATTTATTGATTTTTTACAGAGAGGAAGGGAGAGGGATAGAGAGCTAGAAACGTCAATGAGAGAGAAACATCGGCCAGCTGCCTCTTGCACACTCCCTACCGGGGATGTGCCCGCAACCAAGGTGCATGCCCTTGACCGGAATCGAACCTGGGACCTTTCAGTCCGCAGACGGACGCTCTATCCACTGAGCCACACCAGTTTCGGCGGAGTCGGGAGTCTTGCAGTGAACTTCATGGGCCCCGGCTTGCAGTTTATCTTCGTAGGAAACTGACACGTGTCCACGTGCCTGGACTCACGTTCAGCACGCTTTCCCCAGAGACAGGTTCTTTGTGACGCCCTGTGCCATGTCATGGTCTTTACTTACGTGGACCATGGGCTGTTCTTGTAAGTCCCTCGTTTGGTTGTTTGTAACATTCTCTTCCCTGAATACTATAGCAAGCTGCGTTGCTCTGGGCCAGTGCCGACTGCTCACCTCCTTATCACCTGTTCCTCTGCACTGGTGCCTGGGCAGTATTCTGCAACATTGATTTGCACGTGTGTTACGAGGTGCACCTATGTGCTAAGTCACATGTGTCAAACACAAGGCCCGCGGGCCAAATCCGTCCCGCCAGGCCTTGCAATGTGGCCCGCACCGCGCTGTCATCACTGCACTCACTCCGCTGCGTTTCCATCACAATGACAGTTTACGACTGTTCAGTAAACCGTTCGGCCCGCGATGTAGGCTGGATTTTAGATTTTGGCCCCTTCTCTGTTTGAGTTCGACACCCCTATGCTAAGTGGTCCGTGAAACCAGCTACCCCTTTATTGAATTTTACCTGGGATTTACGACCTATCCAGCCTCCTCTACCGTTCACCCCCGTCCCCAGCAGACAAGCCATGCTGAATGCTGTCAGTGGAAGGATTGGCTAGAGATGCATATTCTCATCCACGTGGTACTTGTCGTGTTTGTGTCCTATTTCTGCGGAGGCCTCCCTGTTTTGTGACTTTCCTTAACCCAGGAAGCCACAGGAGCCTCATCGATCCTGCCTGCACATCTCTCATTTTAAGACATTTTCACGGGACCGACGAATGATTTATATAACACACTTTTGCGATGGGACTTCCCCCCCCCTGTCACCACATTCAGCATTCACTTATTTCCTCACCATTTCTCGCTTTTCAGGTTGTCGGCATAACATGGATGACGAGGAGACCCGTTCTGAGCAGAGCGTGTCTATACGAGGAGAGTCCCGGGTCAGAGATCCCGAGACAGCTCCAGCCACTCAGAAGACCCTTCCGTGTCCGCGGTGCTTCTCGCTTTTGAAGGACGTTCTGCACCTGACGGAGTCACACGCAGCACACTCTGAGCCGAAAGCCCTCTGTGGCGACGCACGTGTTGGAGACCTCTGTTTCCGCGCAAACCCTCCCCAGCAGCAGCAGCAGAGGAAAGAATGTGGAGAGGATCCCTGGAAACAGGCGATGGACAGGGCATCCTACGTGAGCAGCTGTAGCTTCTACTTATCGATCAGCAGGGAGGTTGGAGAAGAATTGCAGTACAACTCCGAGCCTCCCCAGCACCAGGCCGCTCTCAACACCGAGGACCTACACGGCAGCAGGGAGATTTCCCAGGAATTTCCGGATGGAAAAAGTCATCCTCGGGGGGGCGACTGTGCAGACGCCTGCAGCGACCACCTGAATGTTGTCCAGCGTCAGCGTGTCTCCTCTGGAGAGCGAATGTATGAGGGTAACAAATGCAGGAACGTCTTTAGGCAGATCTCCACCCTCCTCCGACACCGGGGAGTTCACACCGGAGACACGCCGGACGAGCCCAGCGATTTTTGGGAGCCGCTCAGACCCACGTCCAGCCTCCGCCAGCATGACGACGCGCCCGCCCCAGACAAGCCGTACGCGTGCGGGGAGTGCGGGATGTCCTTCCGCCGGCGGGCCTACCTCACGAGGCACCGCGGAGTTCACACCGGCGAGAAGCCGCACGCGTGCCGGGACTGCGGCATGCGCTTCCGCCGGCGGGGCCAGCTCGCCGTGCACCTCCGGGTGCACACGGGCGAGAAGCCCTACGGGTGCGCCCACTGCGGGAGGCCCTTCCGCCAGCGGGCCCAGCTCACCGCCCACCTCCGGGTGCACACGGGCGAGAGGCCGCACGCGTGCGCCGCCTGCGGGAAGTGCTTCCGGGAGAGGGCCACGCTGGCCAACCACCGCCGGGTGCACACCGGCGAGAAGCCGTACGCCTGCCGGGAGTGCGGGGCGGCCTTCCGCCTGAGGGCCCACCTCACCTACCACGTCCGGGTCCACACCGGCGAGAAGCCCCACGCGTGCGCCCACTGCGGGGCGTCCTTCCGGCAGAGCGCCCAGCTCACGGCGCACCTCCGGGTGCACACGGGGGAGAAGCCGTACGCCTGCCCGGACTGCGGCAGGGCCTTCAGCGTGCGGACCACGCTCCTCAAGCACCGGAGGGTGCACACCGGCGAGAAGCCCTACGCCTGCCCGGACTGCGGGAAGTCCTTCGGCGACAAGTCGTACCTCAAGCAGCACCGCCGGGCGCACACGGGCGAGAAGCCCTACGCCTGCCCGGACTGCGGGAAGCTGTTCGGCGCCAGCGCCAGGCTGGCCAAGCACCGGCGGGCGCACAGCGGCGAGAAGCCGTACGCGTGCGGGGACTGCGGGCGGCTCTTCGGCGAGAACGCCAAGCTGGCCAAGCACCGGCGGGTGCACAGCGGGGAGAGGCCCCACGCGTGCGCGGACTGCGGGGCGGCCTTCCGCCGCAGCGACCACCTCGCGGTGCACCTGCGGGTGCACACCGGCGAGCGGCCCTACGCCTGCGCCCAGTGCGGCAAGGCCTTCCGGCAGAACGCCAGCCTCACCCACCACCTGAGGAGCCACACCGGCGAGCGGCCCTACGCCTGCGGCGACTGCGGCAAGGCCTTCAGCTACAAGTCCCACCTCACGCAGCACCGCCGGGTCCACACCGGCGAGAAGCCGTACCCGTGCGGGAGGTGCGGGGCGGCCTTCCGCCAGAGCGCCCACCTCGCCGCGCACCTCAGGAGGGTCCACTCCGCGGGGGGGACGCGGTAAGACGCGCAAGCCAGCCCGGGCCGGTGTGGCTCAGCGGGCAGAGCGTCGGCCTGCGGACCGAAGGGTTCCCCGGGTCCGATTCCGGTCAAGGGCAATGTGCCTTGGTTGCGGGCGCATCCCCGGTAGGGGGTGTGCAGGAGGCAGCTGATCGATGATGACTCTTTCTCTCATCGACGTTTCTAGCTCTCAATCTCTCTTCCTTCCTCTCTGTAAAAGAAATCAATAAAAAAAAAATATATTAAAATGTGCAAGCAGTGTTTCATTTTTCTCACTCAGACTAACAACACTGAAGACAACTCTTTTTTTTTTTTTTTTTTTTTTTTAATTTAATTTAATTGCGGGGATGTGCCCGCAAACAATGTATTGTACATGCTCTTGACCGGAATTGAACTTGGGACCTTTCAGTCCGCAGACCAACGCTCTACCACTGAGCCAAACTACTCCAGCTCTTGATGGGATCTTCATTCCTTTCTCTCTGACGAGGGAATGCACCAGGATTCTTCCAGGGCAGCTATCCTCAGCTAAGCAGTGCTGCCTCAGCCAATCAATGATTCTCTCGCATCATTGATGTTTCCATCTCTCTATCCCTCTCCCTGTCAGAAATCAATAAAAATATACTTTAAAAAAACAACAACTACCACCTCTTTCGGGACAGTATGGCTCTCACGTGATGTGATGGATTGTTTCAAGTTCTCATTCACCAGGCTACCAAATGCTTTCTGTCCTCTGTTCTGGTTTATGATCTTTTAGTAAAGGTGTTTTTTCTTTTTCTTTTGTACCTTTTTTTGTTTGTTTGTTTTTTGTTATAGTCACATCCAGGGATGATTTTCAAGCACAATTGTGATCATCATCATTCGGAGTGAACAGATATTGTGTGGATACCATCATTTCTGTGCTTTAGGAGGGACAGTATAATGCCAGACAATCACTCTTTGACGGATATTGGCATATAGTGCATGACTTCCCTGGACCTTGAAAGACCGCGTGATTTGGTGGTTCTAATTTGCAGGTTTGATCCTGGCCACTATGGGGCTATGTAGGAGGCATCTACTACATATATTTTAACAGAGAGGAAGAGAGAGGGACAGAGAGTTAGAAACATCGATTAGAGAATCATCGATCAGCTGCCTCTTTGCACACCCCCTACTGGGTACATGCCCTTGACCAGAATCGAACCTGGGATCTTTCAGTCTGCAGACCGACGCTCTATCACTGAGCCAAACCGGTTTTGGCATTTCCTGTTTTTGTTTGTTTGTTTTTTAATCGTTATGGATCTCAGGGGAAGGGAGAGGGAGAAAGAAACACCAATGATTACAGGAAACCATCAATCAGTCCACTGCCCCCTGCACGTCCCATTCTGGGGATGGAGCCCACGACCTGGGCATGTGCCCAGGCTGGGAATGGAACCAAACGACCTCCTGGTTCATAGGTCAAACCTCAACCACTGAGCCACACCGGCCGGCTGGAGGGCATGCGGTGTCTTTAATGGTCTCCTCTGCACTCAAAGCTTCAAACAACACAGGCCAAAGGAACGTTTGTTTGACAGTACTGTTTCCCCGAAAATAAGACAGTGTCTTATATTAATTTTTTCTCCCAAAGTTGCGCTAGGTCTTATTTTCAGGGGATGTCTTATCTTTCCATGCGCTAGGTCTTATTTTCGGAGGATGTCTTATTTTCGGGGAAACACGGTAGGAGGCCAACTTACCAGGCACTGGAGGCTCCAGGGCCTCCGGGAGGGATTCTGCTCTCGAACCCTGAACCCTCAGCCTGTAACCCTGCAGCCATGGTCAGGCGGCCCCAGAACAGGGTCTTGGGGGGCAACGGTGCTCTCTCGCCCACGCCCCCACCCTTCAGAGGCATTTTTTTAATTTTTAAAATATATTTCATTGACTTTTTTACAGAGAGGAAGAGAGGATGGAGTCAGAAACATCAATGAGAATCGAACCTGGGACCTTTCAGTCCGCAGGCCGACGCTCTATCCCATTGAGCCACACCAGTTTTGGATAGAGGCATCTTTCTTTTAACTTTTACCCCATTGGCAGTCGCCACCTAGTGGCCACGTTGATGTTGCCGCCTTCCTCCGGAGCTCCGGGCCAATGGCTAAGGGCTCAGATTTGATCTCGGTGCCCGAGGCAGAGTTCCAGGAACCCGGAGGCGATATCAGATTCGCCCCAGTAAACAAACAGAGTGTCCGCATTCCATCCGGTTCTTCGGAGATTGTACCAGCAGGTATATAGGGAGTGTTTCCTTGGGGCGATCCGTGGATGAGCTGAGTGCCCCAGGGGCCGGTGGCTGGCACCGCCAGGCGTCCATCCTTGGGGGCTGCTGCCATGGAGGGCCCGCTTGCTTGTGGGGGCTCCCCTGGGCACTTCCACAGGAGGTGCATGGGGTCCACACGGCCGCGGGGGTCCCGGGTGCCTCTGCCCTATCTGCTCTTACTCTTGGGAGTTCCGGGGGGGGGGGCCCTTCTGCAGGAACCGTAGGAGGTTCGCCCCACCTCAGGGGCCACAGAAGCCGCTGCCCCTGGGTCTGCTCGCTCGCTTGTGTGAGTGCCTAAAAAGCCCGTCCATAGAAGCTGCAGGTTTACCCGGCTGCTGGGCTGTGGGAGCCTCTGACCGGTGGGTCTAATCTGCTCGCTTCTCAGAACTCCCATGGGTCCATCCACAGGAGCTGGAGGAGGTTCACCTGGCCATGGGGCCGAGGGAGCCGCCGCCCCATACATCTGCCTCCTTGCTTGTGTGGCAGCTACCGTTGGCTTGCCAATCTTCCCTTTCCCTGATAAAGGGACTCTGTGGCTCCGGGCCAGTGGCCAAAGGCTGAGATTTAATCTCGGTCCTGGAGGCAGAGTTTCCAGGGGCCCAGAGGCATTATCAGATTCGCCCTGGGAACTGTCTGCGTTTCATTCGGTTCTTTGGAGATTGTACCAGCAGGATACAGGGTGTGTGCCCTGGGGGCCGTCCTCCAGAGCTGCTTCCACCACGGAGGGCTCGCTAGCTTTGTGGGAGTTCCCGTGGGCCCTTCTGCGGGAGCTGCATGGGGTCCACCCGGCCGCGGGGGCCTTGGATTCCTGTGACCTGTCGGCTCACTCGTTCTTGGGAAGCCCCTATGGGTGCCCCATTCTCAGGAGGCTCGCCCGGCCAGGAGCTGTAGGAGGTTTGCTGGCCTGTGGGCCTGCCTGCTCGCTTGTGGAAGTGCCCTCAGGAGCCACAGAGGGTCCACTGTCTGCCAGGGCTGCGTTGGGTGCTGACCCATGGGGTCTGCTGGCTCGTGGAAGTGAAGGTGGTTTTGTTGGTTCTGAGATTGGTAGTCCCAGGGCGGTGGGGTGTTATTTCCACAATTCGATGTCTGGACTGTTAGGGCGGTGCCCCAAGGGAAGGGTGGCTGGCACTGGGGTGCTGTGCTGCTATGGAAGTGGGGCCGGCGTGGACCTTGCAGGAAAGCAAGTGGAGGGCATGGACAGGCTTGTCCTTGAACACTGTTGGTGCTGGTCATCTGAGGCTTTCCTTGGGCTTGTTACAGAGGTGGGTGCCGGCCCACGGTATACTCAGAGCACCGTGTAGGATGCTGCCCACCCTACGGAGTCTTTTTTTCTGGAATTTTCTCTGGGGCCTGGAGGTGGTGGAAGGGCCTGGGCCCAGTGCCTGAGAGAGCCAAGGAGGCCGTGGCACTCGGCCGTCGCTGCTGGGTCTTTGTGCTTATGTGTACTGGGACGTTTGTGCCTTCCAGGGAGATGGGCCCCTTGCTTTAACCCACATGTGTCAAACACAAGGCCCGCGGGCCAAATCCGTCCCGCCAGGCCTTGCAATGTGGCCCGCACCGCGCTGTCATCACTGCACTCCGCTGCGTTTCCATCACAATGACAGTTTATGACTGTTCAGTAAACCATTCGGCCCGCGATTTAGGCTGGATTTTAGATTTTGGCCCCTTCTCTGATTGAGTTCGACACCTCTACTTTAACCAGTTCCCGGCCCAACCGTGTGTGGCTGGCCAGGGGGGGCAACCAGCTCACACCGCGCCTGCAAAGTGCTCTCACCGGGGACAACCAGGGAAGGGAAAAGGGAGTTACCGTATTTTTCGGACCATAAGACGCACTTTCCCCCCCCCCCCCAGAAGTGGGGGGAAAAAGTCCCTGCGTCTTATGGTCCAAATATAGCCTACAGATATACTTAAAAAAAAAAAAGTTTTTTTACTTGCCCGGCTCTGTGTGGTCTCTGTGTGCTTGCCCGGCTCTAAAATGGTTCTAAATGCTGCTGTTTACTTTACAGGGTTGATTACATGTGTTTATGACTGTGATGTTGGGTTTTAATGCACATAAAATATTTTAGGACACTATTTGTTTCAGAATCTTTTTTTCTTCATTTCCCTTCTCTAAAAACTGGTGCGTCTTATGGTCCGAAAAATACGGTAGCTCATCACTTTGCCCGGCCGCTAAGAGTGAGGCTTGGAATGAGTCTTGTGGGCACAGGGGGATGCCATGTGTGGTGCAGCCCTGCCACGGGCTGCAAAGCCCTGGATCGGGCTTTTCGTGAATTGCAAAATTTGTTGGCTTTCTGGGCGCAGGGCTCGGGCTTGAACTGGCCCACCGCCCAGGCTCTGCCTCTGCAGGCGACGGCCCACGTGGGGCCCTGCATTCACTTGGGCTCTCGGGGCGCCCTGTGACCCGTGTTATCGTCTTCACCCCCTGCGGGAAGGGGGGTCACCTGGTGCAGTAGCCTAGCAAGCCCCACCTGCCGGGCTCCGCACCGCAGGTGTCAACCTCTTCCTCGGGCTGCCGCCCTCTCGCGAGAAAAAAAAAAAAAAAAAAAAAAAAAAAAAGCCCAGTCTCGCGAGAGAAAAGCGCGTGAAGCTCACGCACCAACTTCCGCTTGCCGCGTTCCGGAAGACTCCCTGCCCCGAGCGGGGTGGGCGCTTTTGCTGCGCAGTTGACGCCGTTTTTCTCCCCGATATGCTCCGAGGTCTGGGCTCCTGGGGGCGCCCCCACCACGGGACGTGTGCGGTGGCCCTACCCCGTGGAGTTCTCCGTGCCGCCCCGTGGGGCGGAGGCGTGGGGCTGCGGCTCGCACGCGGATGTTAAGGCAGGCGCGGCTTGTGTCGCTGTTTCCTCCGTGGGGGGGGGGGGGGGGGGGTGGAGGTAAAGGTGGTGGCTCTGCATAAAGGGAAAGGGTAAGGGTAAGGGTAAGGGGAGGGGATGGGGTTCCCGCGGAGGCCTGCGGGCTCCGTCAGGGTCACGTCCTATAGGTTCGCCAGGTATACCAGCAGGCTGAGGGGTGATTGCTCGCCCGGGGCTGGTAGGCCGTCAACCCGCTGGTGCCCACAGACGTTCTAGCTCCACACCCGGAGGGAGGCCCACTCAGCAGAGGTGGTGAGCGTGGAAAGGCAATTTGGGAGTCGTGACGGGCTTGGCGTCCGCATACAACCTGGGAGAGGCCGTGGGAAGGGGTTTTCTCGACTTCCCTGGGGCTCTTTTGTACTTGGAAGTCCTCGTTTCAGGCTCATGCAAGGCGCCTCGGTAGTAGAATTTTTTCTAAGTCCTTACAAGCAGACACGGGAGGACCCCTGCCTGCGCTGGTGGTGAGAGATTTTCCTGGTGGTTGGGGTGCCAGCTCCCCGGAGCGAGGGGGGCCGCTTCTGAGAAAAGGTTACGTTTCCATCCCGGACTCAAACGGACCTCTCCTGGGGCTCCGTCGGGCCCTGGTTCATTTTCTCCACGCCCTCGGGGGTCGACCAGATGGCCCTGAGAGCTGCCTGGAGGCAGAAAAGGGTTGTTGGGAGGGATTGGTGACCGGTCCACCCCTCCAGGATGCCGGTGTGACCCGTAGCGAGGCCCGGCCAACAGGCACAGTCATTTTTTAAGTCTGAAATGGGCGTTTTGAACCACCAGCTTATTAGGGACCCTGTGCTGGCCAGCTTGGTTCTGTGGGTGGGCCACTTGGGTCTCTGACTACGGCCTGTTGCTAAGCTCTGCCTGCGGGGGGGGGATGCCCAAATGCATCTGCAGGAGGTGCTGTCTGGGCTCCGGTGCCCGAAGGTGGTGAGTGTGGTTCTCACCCCAGGGGCTCTGTGATGCCCCTAGGGTAGGGGTGTCGAACTCAATCAGAGAAGGGGCCAAAATCTAAAATCCAGCCTAAATCACGGGCCGAATGGTTTACTGAACAGTCATAAACTGTCATTGTGATGGAAACGCAGCGGAGTGCAGTGATGACAGCGCGGTGCGGGCCACATTGCAAGGCCTGGCAGGACGGATTTGGCCCGCGGGCCTTGTGTTTGACACATGTGCCCTAGGCCTAGGCGCTCAGGTGGGCCTTGGTTGACCTCACCTTTCACAGCCCCCGGCTGTTGACTCCACTGAGGGAGTGTTTCCGTGTTCTATGGCTCTGCTGGGAGCTTCCCCGCTGCTGCCTTGTGGCTGTTGAGCTTGTGGTGTGAGGCTGGATTTGGAGTAGGAAGTCCTTGGGGAAGGCTTGTGTTCTCCCTATTGGGGGCTCAGCTTGAAGCTTCGTTGGGCATAGTCTCTAGGTTTTCCGTCTGGCATCTTCCTCCGTTTCTCTTCCTCCGAGCAGCTGTGAGGAGAAAGGTGGGAAGAGGTCGGCTAGCCATGGAAGGGGTGGTGGGTATGGGGGCTGCCTTTTGTTGGGGTCGACCAGATGGCCCAGCGGAATTCGGCCGCCAGAACGGGTCCAGCAAGCGTCCGCTGGGGGGGGGGGGGGGGGGGGCGGTGAGACCCAGTGCTCTCCTGAGCCCCGTTTTTTGGGGAAAAAAAGAAGTCCGGTTCCAGGGTTGGATATCCCTCTGCCACACGCGGTCGACCAGCAGGTCCCATGCGGCCAACACGGGCGCCCCGAAGTGGCTCCTGGTCGCGGCGGAGGGATATTTTTGCAGGGATGCCGGTCGGTGCCCACAAAAGCGGCCCCAACTGCACGTCCACGGCCTCGGGCTCCCCGGGGACATTTGTCTGCGCTGCGGCAAGGTCACAGTTGGTCACAAGTGGCCTTTCGGACCTCCAGGCACGTTTCTGCACGTACACACCCCGGTCCGAAGGCCGACACTCTATCCATCGAGCCAAACCCCCTAGGGCAATCCTCAGGTATTGTTATCATGGTTTCCACAGAAAAGAAAAATCCCTCCCGCCAGCATGAGGTCTATATTCCCATCATGACCGCTCAGAGGACAGGCAGGTGAACATCACTATAGGCAGCATGGGAACAAGGCCCCTTAGCTGAACGAATCCACAGAAAATGCGGGTCAAAGGTCATGATCAAGTGGGATGTAGGGGTGTGTGTGTGGGGGGGGGGGAGTGGCAGGGATGAGTGAAACTTTAAAAAAGAAACAAAACCTAGCCGGTGTGGCTCAGTGGATAGAGCATTGGCCTGCGGACTGAAAGGTCCTGGGTTTAATTCCAGTCAAGGGCACTTGCCTGGGTTGCAGTCTCCATCCCCACTGGGGGGCGTGCAGGAGGCAGCTGATCAATGATTTTTCTTTAAACTTTAAAGAAATATATATTTTATTGATTTTTTTACAGAGAGAAAGGGGGAGAGAGCGAGCTAGAAACGTCAATGAGAGAGAAACATCGACCAGCTGCCTCTTGCACACCCCCTACCGGGGATGTGCCCACAACCAAGGTACATGCTCTCGACTGGAATCGAACCCGGGACCCTTCAGTCCGCAGGCCGATGCTCTATCCACTGAGCCAAACTGGTTAGGGCCAATGATATCTTTTTTGAGAAATACATTTTTATTAATCTCAGAGGAAGGGAGGAGGGAGAAACATCAGTGATGAGCGAGAACCATCAATCCACTACCTCCTGCACCCCCCCACCAGGGATGGACCTCCCGATTCATAGGTCGAAGCTAAACCACTGAGCCACACTGGTGGGGCGCAGCCAGGTGTAATCGCTGTGCCCGGAGACTCCTCGGCTGTGGGCTGTTAACTCTCTTAACTGAGGGTTAACACTGCATTCGCTCTGAGTGTCTTGGGTTCGATCCGCCTGTGGAGGGATGTCGCCCTAGCTCCCCATCTCTTGAGGTTCAGAGATCCTGGGGGCCTTGGCTATGCATTTGGTTCTGGTTGCGTTCCGGGGGGCGTCTCTGCAGCCTGCAGGGTCCCCGATTCCAGACATTTGTACCTGCTGGTTCAGCAAAGTGTTAAAGCGCTGGAGTCTGACAGGTTCCAGGAGGGGGACCGGGAGAGGCGAAGACTCCATGCAAAGGGCGCCTCTCAGGGGAACGGGGTGTCAGCGGGGTCTCTGGCCGCCTGCCGAGGGCGTTCCTGGGACAACGGGCCACATGGCAGTCCCGTCAGAGCACCTGACGGCAGACACGCATCAGAGGGAACACCCCACGCGGATGGTTGTGCAGGAGGAGGCCCTGGTTTACAGGAAATTGCCCCCGGTATTTGGGAGGAAAAAAATTAAAACGTTTGCGGGGTCACAGGGTATCACATGGGTCATTTCAGATTGCTCTGTGCTATATTTGTCACTTTACTGCAGTTTTGCTTTGGGATGGCTTAAAAAAAAAAATCTAAACGACGCAATTCCAGATGTGTCCACAAGACGGCGACATAACATCACCAAAGTGGTCTTACCGGGTACGTATATCGATTAATAACGGGGATTTTCCCCCCATACATGCAGTGATTAGTAATGAACTAAAACTTCCCGCAAATGCTTTTTTTTTTTTGGCATTAAACTCGACATTTTTAGGCGTTAAAATATCTATGATGTTAACGCCTTAAGAAAATATGACGAAGTTTTAAAGATTGTTTATTCAAAATAGCATACGTATCAAATCGCATATATATCCACATATGTGCACTTGCCGTTTTGCTAACCGGGCTTTACGGTTTGGTTTTTTTTTAATATGTTATGGGTCTCAGAGGGGAAGGGCGAGGGATAGAGAAAACCTTCCATCGGCTGCCTCCTGCACGCCCCACTCTGGGGATGGAGCCCACAGCCTGGCATGTGTCCCGTCTGGGAACGGAACCGCTCGACCTCCTGGCTCACAGGCTGATGCTCAACCACTGAGCCACACCGGCCGGAGGGCATCGGTGGCTGCAGTGGTCTCCTCTGCAGTCAAAACTCCAAAGAACAGAGACAAAAGGAACATTTTCTTGAGCATCGGAGGCTCCAGGAGGGACTCTGCTCTCGAACCCTCACCCCCAGCCTGCGACCCTGCAGCCAGTCAGGGGGCCCCATGAATTCCTCTGCCTCCTGCAGTGCCTCCTCCCAGGCAGGCCGTCCCCGCCCGCAGCCCTGCAAGCTGGCACGGCTGCCACTGCGTCTCAGAGAGAAAATCCATCCATTTCCACTGGTTTCAGCGACAGGGATACGCATCCACGGTGAGAATCGCTGCCTCCTGCTGCTCCACACCAGGGATGGAGGTCCAGCGGGTGGGGCGGCACTGGCCGCATCGGATCAGCTCTGAGTAGGTGCCCAGCTCACAGTCGGGAACGCAGCTGCCCGGGGGAAAAAAATGGCAATTAAAAGAACCATTACGTATTTATTGATTTGGGAGAGGAAGAGAGACAGCAATGATGAGAATCGTGGATCAGCTGCCTCTTGCATGCCCCCTACTGGGTGGGGATGGAGCCTGCAACCTGGGCATGTGCCCTGACCAGGAAAGGAACTGGGATCTCCCGGTTCATAGGCTGACGCTCTAACCAGTGAACCACACCGGCCAGGGCTGCAATATATATATATATATATACTGTATATATGTTTGGGTTTTTTTTGCAATATTTTTTTTTATTCTCTCCTCCCCTCACCTCCCCACCCCCATGCTTGTCTCCAGGACCTGAAACTGACGGCCACCATCAGTCAGGCAGTCAGGGTCTGGCCGTGGGGCTGCTGTCGCACTGGAATGGAACCCGTCGGCCACAGCACGGCCACAGGTCACGAACAGCGCTGTGCAGTGTTGTGTGTGGCAGGTGCCCCTCCCTTCTCTAGAGCGGCTCCAACAAATAGCATTGGTGAGATTTTAAGGGAAAAAAATAATAGCGATATTTAATATTGTAAACCTTTTTCAGTTCCAGTTCCATTCAGCGTCCCTCTGTCCTCACTGGCGGGTGAGGTCGAGGCCGGGCAGGAGCTGCTGTACAGGACTCGCTGTCACCGGGTCGTCTCCTGCCGCAGGGAGGTCAGCGGCTGGAGCGACGCCCGAGGGTCCAGGTCACCCTGTGGGAGGAGAGCAGACCCCGCTGAGACGCTGTGCACCCAGCTACTCCCCTGATCGGCTCTCAGCCAACAAGCCGACCAATACCCTTGAGCTTCTGCGCCTTCCCACCTTGGCCGTGACAGCTTCTGTACCCTCAGCGGCAATGCCTTAAAAAGCGCATTAAGTCGAAACCGGTGTGGCTCAGTGGATAGAGCGTCGGCCTGCGGACTGAAAGGTCCCGGGTTCGATTCCGGTCAAGGGCATGGACCTTGGTTGCGGGCACGTCCCCAGTGGGGGGTGTGCAGGAGGCAGCTGATGGATGTCTCTCTCTCATCGACGTTTCTAGCTCTCTATCCCTCTCCCTTCCTCTCTGTAAAAAAATCAATAAAATATATATTTTTAAAAATAAAAAAAACACACAGAGAGCTGGTGTGTGGCTGCAATGGCTCGGGCCCTGTATTGTCCAGGGGGTGGAGGTGACACTGGTCACCTTTAAACGTGGACAGACAGCGGTGGAGGTGGGAGAGGCGGGGGCTGGGGCGTCTGTCCCAGCGTCAGCAGCAGCAGGAACAACGTGGGTGATGCCCGTTTCCCTGCCTAGAATGCCAAGGACAGAGCCACCTGCTTAACCATGAACGTCTACGCTGTTCCAGGAAAACGGAATGAACAGAGAGATCCGGAGGCACAGGAGTGAGGGGGGGCAGTGAGGAGGGAAGACATACAGCGAGTGAGACACGTCAGTTCCAGGAAAAAGGACACAAACTCAGACCCCCCCCCCCCCACCTCAAACCCCAGGAACCACCCCAAATGCAGAGACGGGCCATCTCCTTGGGAGACAGATGCCAGGTGGATGGGACCCAGAGTCAGAGGAAGGTGGAGAAGGGGGATGGGGAGGACGGAGAGGATTGAGGGGGGGGGAGGGGAGGAGAGGGAGAGCGGGAGGCATTGCCTGGGCCTCCCCAGCTTCTGCAGGACATGGCACCTCCCGTGGTGCTGGGACCCACACTTCCCGGAGGCTGTCGGGGGTTCTTCCTGCTCCCACGCTAAGGACATGAAGAAAAGGAGGAACCCCAGGTGGCCGGTGTGGCTCAGCGGTTGAGCATCAACCTATGAACCAGGAGGTCAGGGTTCAATTCCAGGGCAGGGCACAGGCCTGGCTATGGGCTCCATTCCCAGTAGGGGGTGTGCAGGAGGCAGCTGATCGATGCTTCCCTCTCATCGATGTTTCTAGCTCTGTATCCCTCTCTCTTCCTCTCTGTAAAAAAATCAATAAAGTATATTAAAAAAATAAAAGAAAATGTTTTTTTGTTTTTTGTTTTTTTTTTTAATAAAAAAGGTTCATGCAGGATGGAGTCTCTCTGGGAACAATTCCTCCAGGTTCCCCCTGACTTGTCTCACTCGGGGGCGATGATGGCGTGGGCGCCGAAAGGTAAGACGGGAGCCCAGCCCAGGTTCAAGTGCACCCCAAGCCCACACTACAGACTCGAGAGACGGTGGCCATCTCCCTGGGCCGGGAGAGCGGACATCAGCCTTGAACGGAATCTTTCTCTAAGATTCTTAATTTCAGCCCTAGCTGGTGTGGCTCAGTGGCTAGAGCATCGGCCTGCAGACTGGATGGCCCTGGGTTCGATTCATGAACCTCTAGTTGCAGGCTCGGTCCCCGTTGTGGGAAGCAACCAGTCGCTGTGTCTCTTTGGCACAGGTTTCTCTCGTCTGTCTCTCCCTCTCCCTTCCACTCTCCCTAAGAATTAATGGAAAAATATCCTCAGGTGTGGATTAACAAAAAAAGGAAAAAAAAAAAAAAGAAAAAGGGGGGTGAGAGAAACCAACTTAATTTCATAAAAATAAAAGCCCTCGGACCTTGGCTACCTGTGCATCACCGTGTTCATCTCATTACCCCCCTCCCCCCCCAATGAGACAAGTCAGGGGGAACCTGGAGGAATTGTGGGCGGAGAGACTCACCATCCTTCGTGACCCTTTAACCTGTTAAACTTAAAAAAGTTTAGCTGAAACCGGTCTGGCTCAGTGAATAGAGCGTTGGACTGCAGTCTGAAGGGTCCCGGGTTCGATTCCGGTCAGGGGCATGTACCTTGGTTGTGGGCACATCCCCAGTGGGGGGTGTGCAGGAGGCAGCTGATGGATGGTTCTCTATCCCTGTCTCTTCCTCTCTGTAAAAAAAATCAATAAAACATTAAAAAGATATGTTAAAAATAAATAAAAATACTTCAGATTAAAAAGTTTAAACAAACGCAATTCCAGAGATGTCCACAAGGCGGCGCTCTCAGTGGTCAGAGCGCCCGCCCAGGCAGGAAGGGTCAGGGGTTCGATCCTGTGCTGTGGTCACAACTGACTGATGTCTCTCATTGAAGTTTCTCTCTCTCCTTCCCCTCCCACCCCGTCTCTAAAGAGAAGAAAAGCACCAGCACGTGCCCTGTCCCCACTCCGCCGCCATCGCCGCCATCGCCCCAACGTGTTTCCTGAGAACCAGCCGCTCGCTCGGCGCTGGGGTCCCAGCCCCCGAGTCCAGGCTCGGCGCCCGAGAATCAGACCGAGACCCGGTCCCGCGAGGCCGAACCGAACACGGGGGCCCGCGGGTCCGAGTCAGGAAGCGACCCCAGTCCCGCCCCCGCCTCCGCCCCGCCGGCCAGACTCGACCCGGGACGGCCCGGAGCAGCCCGCCCACCGCGGGGCCCCCGAGGCCGGCCACCCGCTGCCCGCACTCACCCGCAGGCCCGGCTCGCGGCCTCGCATGGCGCTGGTGCGCCGCGCCGCCTGCTCCATCAGCCCCGCGGTCAGCTCCGCCATGCCGCCGCCTCCCTCCTCCGGCCCGCGGCGCCCGGGCTCCCGCCACACCTCCCGGCGTGCCCCGCGCCGGCGGCAAACCGCGTACTTTCTGGCGAGCCGGAACCGCTCCTGCCACACTTCCCGACGAGCCCTGCGTTCGCCGCTGGACACATCTCCCGAAATACCCCGGGACGTTTTACGACACACTTCCGGCTGGGCCTAGACGCACCTCCCAGCACGCAACGCGGCGACGCTGACGCGCCTCCCGGCACGCTTGGCGCTGGACACGCTTCCCGGCGTCCCCCACGCTGCCGCCGACACACTTCCGGGAAAGCCCTGCTAGACGCGCTTCCCAGCGTGCACCGCGCTCATCCCTCAACTACATGTCCCAGCGTGCCCCGCGTCGGCAACGACACACTTCCCAGCGTGCCGCCCGAACAGCTTCCGACACACTTCCCAACGAGCCCTGCGCTCACCGATAGACACATCTCCCGAAATACCCCGGGACGTTTTCCGACGCACTTCCGGCAGGGCCTAGACGCACCTCCCAGCACGCAACGCGGCGACGCTGACTCGCTCCCCGGCATGCTCGGTGCGCGACACACCTCCCGGCATGCCTTCACGCTGCCCCGACACACTTCCGGGAAGGCCCCGCGATGTCCGCCTGACGCGCTTCCCAGCTTGCACCGCGCTCATCCCCCAACTACATGTCCCAGCGTGCCCCGCGCCGGCAAACGACACACTTCCCGGCGTACCGCAACCGCTTCTGCCACGCTTCCCAACGGGCCCTGCGCTCATCGATAGCCACATCTCCCGAAATGCCCCGGGACGCTTTTCTGACGCGCTTCCCAGCTTGCACCGCGCTCATCCCCCAACTACACGTCCCAGCGTGCCTCGCGCTCGCCAGCAGGCAGCATTAATGGATTGGTCCCAAATACTATTCATGCGCACCCCCGTTCGGTGTCTCGGCAGATCAATGGAAGGGCCAGGCTCCCGATCTCTTGCGGTTCGGAGGTCCTGGGGGCCTTGGCTCCGCCCCCGGTTCTGGGTGCCTTCCGGGGGGCGTCTCTGGAGCCCCGAGGGTCCCCGATTCCAGACTTTAGTATCCGCCGCTTCAGCAAAGTGTTAAAGCGCTGGAGTCTGTGACAGGTTCCAGGAGGGGGACCGGGAGAGGTGAAGACTCCATGCAAAGGGCGCCTCTCACAGGAAGGGGGGTGTCGGCGGGGTCTCTGGCCGCCTGCCGAGGGCGTTCCTGGGACAACGGGCCACATGGCCATCCCATCAGAGCACTGGACGGCAGAGAAGCATCTGCGTGAACTTCCTGACTCTGATAGTTGGCAGGAGGAGGCCCTGGTTTATAGGAAATTTCCCACTTTAGTATTTGGGAAATAAAAATTAAAATATATTTTTGGGGGGTCTATGTGCTAGTGTATTTTCCGTAGTTTTGCTTTGGGCTGGCCTAAAAAAGTTTAAACAGACGCAATTCCAGAGATGTCCACAAGGCGGTGCGCTCCGACAACAACAGTGGTTTTACTTGCCATTCCCCTTGATGGGTTTTTGTAAAAGGTTTTAAGTTCGTTTTTTAATTTAATTTTTTTTTTATATGGGGCAGAGAGAAACACCAATAATGAGAGAGGATCATGGGTCAGCTGCCTCCTGCACCCCCACACCAGGGATGGAGCCCCCAACCAGGAATCGGATCCCTGACCTCCTGTTTCATAGGTCAAAGCTCAACCACTGAGCCATACCGGCTGGGCAGCACCCACGTGTAATTGCTGTGCCCGGGAGAGAAACAGACTCTCCTCGGTGTCCTGGGTTCAATCACCCTGTAGAGGGGCACCCCAGATCCCACCCCAGCACATACTGCCACTGCTCGGGGTTCAGGCTGAAACAATGGAAGAGCCAGGCTCCCCATCTCTGGGGGTTCGGAGGTCCTGGGCACCTTGGCTATGTCTCCGGTTCTGGTTACTTTCCTGGGGCATATCTGAAGCTTGGAGGGTCCCTGATTCTAAGCACTTGTATTCGCTGGATAAATAAAGTGTTAAAGCACTCAAGTCTTTAAGAGGCTCAAGCAGCCTTAGCCTGTTTGGCTCAGTGGATGGAGCGTCGGCCTGTGGAGTGAAGGGTCCCGGGTTCGATTCCGGTCAAGGGCATGCACCTTGATTGCGGGCACATCCTTAGTGGGGGGCGTGCAGGAGGCAGCTGATAGATGCTTCTAACTATCCCTCTCCTTTCCTCTCTGTAAAAAAAAAAAAATCAAAAAAAAAAATCAATAACCTCCCTCCCCCCCCAAAAGGTTCAAGAAAGAGGACTGGAGAGAAATGAAGACTCAATGCAAAGGGCACCTCTCACAGGAAGGGGGGTGTCAGCGGGGTGTCTGGCCGCCTGCCGAGGGCGTTCCTCGGACAAAGGGCCACATTGGACTCGCATCAGAGGACTGGACGGCAGACACGCATCAGCGCAAACACCCCGATGCTGATGGTTGTGCGGGAGGCGGCCCTGGTTTATAGGAATTTGCCCCTGAAGTATTTGGGGGGGGGTGTCACAGGGTATCACACGGGTCATTTCAGATTGCTCCTGAAGAGAGGTCTCAGTGCTAGACTTGCCATTTTACTGTAATTTTGCTTTGGGATGGTTTGAAAAAAATTAAAACCACGCAATTCCAGACATGTCCACAAGGCGACGCGCTCCGACCTCAAAACTGGTTTTACCAGGTGCACTGGTGAATAATGCGGATAATAAAGGCTCTTTTTTGGGGGGCACTTTTTAGGCGTAAAAATACCTATGATGTGAACACCTTCAGAAAATTTGACATGAAGGCTCCGGGGCCTCTGGGAGGGACTCTGCTCTCGAACCCTCAACCCCAGCCTGTGACCCTGCAGCCACGGTCAGGCGGCCCCAGGACAGGGTCCTCCCAAGACACTAATTCCTCTGCCTCCTGAAGTGCCTCCTCCCAGGCCTCCTGCTGCTGCCACCTCCCCTGACAGACCGTCCCCACCCGCAGCCCTGCAAGCTGGCACAGCTGCCACCGTGCTTCTCTCTAAAATAAAATAACCCATTTTCATTGATTTAAGACACACGGTGAGAATCGGCTGCCTCCTGCACCTCCACACCAGGCATGGCAGCCACAATCCAGGCATCGAACCAAGAATCAGATCTGAGACTTTCTGGTTCACAGATCGAAGCTCAACCACTGAGCCACACTGCTGGGGCGCAGCCAGGTGCAATCACTGTGTCTGGGAGAGGAAGACTCCTTGGCTGCGGGCTGTTAACTCTGTTAACTCAGGGTGAACACCGCCTTAACTTAGCGCTCCCGCTGCATTTGCATGGGTGTGATCCACTCCTGCAGAGGGGTGTCCCCCTAGCTCCCCATCTCTTGGGGTTCGGAGGTCCTGGGGGCCTTGGCTCCGTCCCTGGTTCTGGTTGCGTTCAGGGGGGCGTCTCTGCAGCCTGGAGGGTCCCTGATTCCAGACATTTGTATCTGCTGGTTCAGCAAAGTGCTAAAGCGCTCCTGTCTGTGACAGGTTCCAGGAGGGGGACCGGGAGAGGCGAAGACTCCATGCAAAGGGCGCCTCTCAGGGGAACGGGGTGTCGGCGGGGTCTCTGGCCGCCTGCCGAGGGCATTCCTGGGACAACGGGCCACATGGCAGTCCCGTCAGAGGACCTGACGGCAGACACGCATCAGAGTGAACCCCCCGATGCTGATGGTTGTGCAGGAGGAGGCCCTGGTTTACAGGAAATTGCCCCCGGTATTTGGGAGAAAAAAGAAAATTTAAAACGTTTGCGGGGTCACAGGGTATCACACGGGTCATTTCAGATTGCTCGTGAAGAGAGGTCTCTGTGCTAGACTTGTCACTTTACTGCAGTTTTGCTTTGGGATGTCTTAAAAAAAAAAAAAAAAGTTTAAACAAGTGACGCAATTCCAGACGTGTCCACAAGACGGCGACATAACAGCACAAAAGTGGTGTTACCGGGTATATCGGTTAATATTGGGGATTTTTTCCCCCCATAGAGATGCAGTTATTAGTAATGAACTAAAACATCCCGCAAATGCTCTTCTTTATTTGGTATTAAACTCGACGTTTTTTAGGCGTAAAAGTATCTATGATGTTAACACCTTCAGAAAATTTGAACGAATCTTGTTCATTCAAAATAGCGGACCTATCAACTGACAAACATATCAACATATGTGTGTGTGCTAGGAGTTGCCATTTCGCTCGTTGGGCTGTGAGAAAGGTTTTGTGTCTATTTATTTTTTAAGATGTTACTGATCGCAGAGGCGAAGGGAGAGGAGCAGAGAGAAATGCCAATGATGAGAGAACCATCCAGCGGCTGCCTCCTGCACGCCCCCTGCTGGGGATGGAGCCCGCAACCTGGCATGTGCCCTGACCGGGAATGGAACCGCAAGACCTCCTGGTTCATAGCTTTAAGCCCAACCACTGAGCCACACCGGCCGGAGGGCATCGGTGGCTTGAACACAAAAAGAACATTTGCTGGAGAATCGGAGGCGGACTTACCAGGCACTGGAAGCTCCGGGTCCTTCGGGAGGGACTCTGCTCTCCAACCCTCACCCCTGGCCTGCGACCCTGCAGCCACGGTCAGGCGGCCCCAGGACAGGGTCCTCCGGGGACACGAATTCCCCTGCCTCCTGAAGTGCCTCCTCCCAGGCCTCCTGCCGCTGCCACCTCCCTGACAGGCCGTCCCCACCAGCAGCCAAGATCAGCCCCACACAGCCCATTGGCCAGGGCCAGCCGCCCCCCTCACCGCCCCACACAGCCCATTGGCCAGGGCCAACCGCCCCCTCACCACTCCACACAGCCCATTGGCCAGAACCAGCCGCCCCCTCACCGCCCCACACAGCCCATTGGCCAGGGCCAGCCGCCCCCTCACCGTCCCACACAGCCCATTGGCCAGGGCCAGCCGCCCCCTCACTGCTCCACATAGCCCATTGGCCAGGGCCAGCCGCCCCCTCGCTGCCCCACATAGCCCATTGGACAGAATCAGCCACCCCTCTCACTGCCCCACACAGCCCATTGGCCAGGGCCAGCCGCCCCCTCACTGCCCCACACAGCCCATTGGTCGGGGCCAGCCGCCCCCCTCACCGCC